CTGCTTCAGCCACCTGATGAAAAGGATGAGCCAGAACTTCCCCAACGGAGGTGCTATGGACACACACTTTGCCAACATGCGGTCTCTAATCCAAGTGAGTCTTTCTGAATCCTATTTAAATGAAGTTGAGGTTGTTTCAGAGGCTGAGGGCTGCCATGATGCCATAGTGAAAGACAGGACCTCCGCTGATGGGTTCCTGGCCATCTGGTACTTCGGAGCTGGGGAAGATACTTATGCACCCCAAGCTGATTTCCTGCTTCTCAGGGGGCAGCAGTTGCTGTCACAATAAAGAGTATGTGTTACAGCATGTCAGTTCAGGTTAACCTGACAGAGCTCCTCAGACTTCTGCCTCCATTACAGCAGCTGCACCATGGAAGGACTCACATTTGTGGCTCAGTCCAGCTGTAACTGAAGTCAGGGAGTCGCATTAATATCCATTCCTACATTGCTTTTGGAAGAGAAAACACTGATATTTGTGGGAAAAAAAGAAATTACAGATTTATAGACTATAGCTTTATTTGTGCTTACACAGTATGCTTACTGAATGGTTTTTGGTTGCGAGAATTATCTGGATAGGCCATTATTTGGTTTCATAGGTGGTAAATTAAAAAAAAATTACATTTATAATGAAAGCAGAGATTCGTTTAATGAAGAAGAGAGTCAGGGTGGAAAACACAAGCAGCAAAAGCAACTGCAGCATTTCTGTTGAGAAGCAAAAGCAAGAGAAGAGGATGGCGCCCTCATTATCTGGCTGTACTACACATTTCAGACATCTATCAGACATCTGGCAGGTTTGGTGCAGCTACACCACTGGCATTTTACAAATGCATAATAAAGGCAGCTGCTCAGAATAACTATAGGATCAGCTGATAAAGAGCAGCGCAAGACTTCAGCCTCTAACACCTCTGATCCTGGCTACTTTCAGACAAGATACCGACATCTGATGTTTCACATTTTAGATTCTAGACTCGGAGCTTTTTGAACTGATGCATCAGAATGGGGATTACACTCACTTTTACTTCTGCTATCGCTGGTTCCTGCTGGACTTTAAAAGAGGTAATAATGTTTTATGCCTGTGGAGTTATGCAAAACTGAGTGTACCTATGTCTGGCTGTAGCAAAATGTTTTTATGAGGGACAGCTCAGTAGCTGTTGGACTCTGCTGAGCAATGTACTTTCTATACTAGGAGGTCCTCTGCTATGCACTCAGACTCAGAGCCTGTCATGTAGCCCTAGCTGCAGCACGTGGGCCCACCTGGGCATCTTTTGGGGTTAAGTCACACCACTACACCTACGCTCTTTCTTAATTTTCAGTTGCCATACCTGCACTGATAAATGACAGAAGTTGGCTGGAGGAGAAAGGGAGAGGGAAAAGGAGGCGTTATCACAAGCAATTATTTTCTGCATAAGGCCTGAAAGACATCATAGAGAGGGGTGGGGAGAAATGGTCAATTTGAATAATCAGATGCTCTTGTAATGTTTATTCCCATTCAGAATTGTTGTACGAGGATGTATTTACAGTGTGGGAAGTAATTTGGGCTGCAAAGCACATCTCTTCAGAACATTTTGTCCTTTTCATTGCCTTAGCACTTGTGGAAGTTTACCGAGAGATTATCCGTGATAACAACATGGACTTCACCGATATCATCAAGTTTTTTAATGGTAAGAGACATATTTTAGGAAAGACGTTGCGATAAACAGCAAGTGGCTGCAGTCTGCTGCTCTCCCTTACTCTGACAAACCATCTGCAGTTCAGTGTCCCTGCTGTTGTGAAAGCCCCTGTTCATTTTAAGTTGAGAATCTCTTACTGCTTCAGTCACATTGTTTTCCATGTGCATGAAGAGCTCAGATTTTCATGTACTTGCTGAAGATCCAACCTGCCCCACAAACAGCAGTGCCTGTTTTCCTAAAAGGTTCTGCACCTTTATGTTTTTAGAGCCCAAGAGGGCTGTGCCCAGGCACGGGTGGGTACCAACCTCCCATTCCTGTTCTGTGGTCATAAGGGACTGTGATTTTTTGCAGCAAGAGAACTGACACCTGAAGGATTAGCTTTTGGTGCCAGGACCTGTGGCTCTAAGGGATTCCTTTACTTATTCTTCTTTAATTCTAAAAACCTAAATCACTGCCAATACTTCTGTTCTGGTGCTCATGTAATATTAATTAATCAATGCTAACATGACAGCAATATCAATACTAGAGAAATGTTCCTGCCATGGACAGTTAAAAATGGTTGTCTGTGTCTTTTAGAAATGGCAGAACATCACAATGCCCAGGAAATACTGAGGATAGCAAGAGACCTTGTCTACAAAGTGCAGACATTGATTGAAAATAAGTGATCATTGTGGGCCTTGCTGTGAGCTACTGGATGGAGCATTTCTTGCACTGTAACTTCAAAATGGTGTTTTAATTGCATCTTCCATGTAATGTAATAAATAACCAGATTTGTAATACTTTTAAAAATGAACTTTTCCTTCACCAGAGGGAGTTTGTGTTTAATAGTCCTTGTTACACTCAACTTTGTATTTCAGAACAGAATCTTTTTGCATTCTCTTATTTCTCTCTCTCTAGAAGACTGTCTCCTTACATAACTGAGATACTAAAAAGGGGGTATTTGACATATTAGAACATTTATATTTTGACTTACTGCACCTTTTGTGCTCTGCCAGAATTTTTTGAAGAGGTAAGGCCTGATCTGCTAGAAGTGGGGCAAGCACTGATCTGGGTCCATGGAAGAGCACGTTTGTGGGCTCAGTTCACAGACTCTCTCTTGAACATGAAAGAGAAATGCATACGTAGATCCTGTTGCTAAAACATTCATACTTACATTCAGAATACTTAGCAAGTAAAATAAGATTAACAACTGGGAGAATAGCCTTACAGTAAGTAACAGGGTTAAAGATGAGCAGTGAAGACCTGGCAGTGCTGGCTAGAAACATTGGTTAGCCTTTGCTGCCTCGCTCATGCTGGTGAGTGTTCATGGCCTACATATGCCACAAACTTGCCCTTATTTTACTTTGCAAACTTACTTGGCAAGTACTCCCAGATGACAAATCTGCCTAATATAGCTCAGGTTAACACAGCTTAAGCACATAGAAACAGTTTCCTTGCTCATGTTAGCAAATCCCACGCTCTTTGCGTCTGTGCAGAGTCCCATAAAGTTCAGGTCCTACTTACAGAGCAGACACTGCACAGCCTCGCCTCCTCCTGTTCATTTACTGCAGACTACTGACCTCCTCCTCCCCCCTGCTCTGGGAGGACTTCCCTTGGGATCCTGCGAACGCAAACCAGGCATTTGTTAACTCAAGCAAGTCTTGGTACTTGCCAGATTAAGCAGTAGAAATTGTTGCACAGGATCCATTTTACTGTCATGCTGTGCTGGTTTGTAGAGCTGCCCCTGCACACGCTGTGGCTGTTCTGTACCTCTTCTGTTTGTGCTTGGCTGCATGCTTCCAGTAGCAGTGTGTATTTTAACCCATCTTCTATAGAGAGCAAAAGTGACTTGGCTGGGGCTCAGCCGTGGAGCTGTCTGTTGCTATCCTAGCACTTCATCACACTATATAAAATTTATCACCTGTACTCTCACTGCTTTCCCAGCATGTGTTGTATTTAGGTGTATCTCTGTGTCAGCCAGAGAGAGGAAGGGAGCAGCTTTTTACTAATGGGATTAGCTGTAGATTTCATGGATTGGTGTGACCTGTGCTCCCAGAAAACTCAGTGTCTCCATTTTAAGTATTCCTGCCTTTGCTACTGAATCTCAGTGATAAAGTTTGAATTTTTTCCCTTTTTAAAACATCATTCAGAGCAGGCTGGGTTACACAGCTTTGTTTCCATTGAGCCTCCCAGGCTGTCATCAAAAGCAGCTGTCAACTCAGATGAGCTTCTAAAATCAGATTTGAGTAAAACAGGCGTAGGGAATCAAATTACTCTATCCAAAGACTCCAGCCCTGGCTGGTGACTCCCCTCCTATTACCACACAAGTAGTGAGCAGTTCCTCCTGCTTTTGCAATAGATGTGTAATGCCTTTAGGTCCTACTGAGCTGAACGTTGCTCGCACAAGCAAGAGGAAGATTTGATTCTACAAGTGTCATCTGTGCTTAGTTCTCTTTTTATGACTGAAGTAAAATAAAAATAATAAATACTATTCCAAAAGGGGGCATTAAAAAAACAGCATGCTTTTTAACTAATAATCGAGCGCTTGAAGTGGTCTCTGAACATTCGATGGGAGGGTAAAGTAAACCACCAGTTTGTCTCTGCCCTCATTTCCACACTGCCAGGTGTCACTCAGGTGCTGCCCCAAAGCCAGACTGTGACACCAGCAGTGCAGGCAGCACCGTGTGGGTCCCCCCTCACTGCAGCAGAACCAACCTGCAGCTCTGCACACTCAGTCACAGCGCAGAAGTGAGAACAGATGAGCCTACAGAACTCTGAAAAAAGGTGCAGAGGAGGAGGGTTAGAGGGAAACCCCCTCCCTGTGCATAACGTGCTAAAGTAATAACAGTGGGAATGGGAGGAGGAGGAAAGCTGTGATTGATAAGCTGTACTCCTCACCCACCACACGTCCAGCAGTTAGAGTGCACTCAGGATGAGAAGCCAAGAAGTTGTACTGCAGGCATGCTCACAGTCTGACCTCACCATTACAGCTGCACATCACGCTTCTCACAGGGCAGAGCATGGCTGCTGAAAGGTCTGAAAACGCTTCAGTTTGTGCCTGCCTGTTGTCTGAAGAGTGAAGTACTAAAAAAAATGAGCAAAAAAGCCCTCCAATATACAGAACCTGAGGAAATGATGTAAGAAATAAAACTGCACTATTTTTCTTTGTTGGGAATGTACTATACAAATCTATTTAAAAAATATCTGCAAAATTTGTTGTATTTGTTACAATGTTCTGTCTAGTTGTATTTTATGAATATTGTGTATTAACTTATTTTTGTCAAGAGCAGACTATTCTCTTTATTGCTCAATTATATTTAAATGTAACATATAAATAAATACTTACTGTCGAGGCATTCTGTGGAGATCTTTGGAAACAATTTCTCAGCCCAAAGGGACCTTCAGAGACAGAACAGGGAGCCTTGGGGACAGGCTGTCTGTAAGGAGAGCGGGATGCACAATTAACATTTCTGTGATGAGCACACAAAGGCTTTGCACTAAGCAGCATTTCTGAAGGTCGCTGCCGAGCAGCTGCTCACGGCCCTTACGTGACTTCCAGCACAGATGTAAGTCACACACGGAGCCCAGCAGGCGCTGAGCTGCAGCCAGCGCAGCCTTGGAGGAGTGTGAACAGAGTAGGCCTGCGACAAGTGCTAAAAAATAACAGTCTCAGGCCTGATCGTGCTGCAGCTAACGTTAAAAACATCTATCCTGGAAGCCCAGCAGTGCTGTTAGATCCTCCTCCATCACTCCCTGTTTGTCCTCCAAAGCCCCCAGAAGACTCCTCCTGCAGTTCCTGTCCCTCTCCCCAAGCTCACTGCCTTGCTGCTCATCTGCTGCCATCAGGTTTGGCAGAGATCGTGCTTCCACATTTTCAGGCAACCTTTCTTTGTGTTTCTGCTGGGAGCTCTGCCCAGAGGTGGCTCCCACAGAGCAAAGGAGAGCTTTTCCAACCCACTGCCTGGGAAGCCAGAAGCACCAACAGCCTCTGGCTGCAGCGCACAGTCCCTCAGCCATCACTGCTGGCTGTTAGAGCTGTTAACCACGTATTCACCCTCACACAAGAACAGAAGCCCTCTGAAATGGATCTGGGGACACGTTGGCTTAAACGATCTTCCATTGCTTGTGTCCTTCACCTTCAACTTGTCACTTTGCTTTCTTTTCTACAGGGCCTTCTTAGTACCAGCGTCCCCCTCACGCACCCCAAGCACTCTTCTGCAAGCTCTCAGAAGCTTTTGAGCTAGATATTCCGACTTAGAAAGCTGTCCCCCAAAGCTGCAGAGTCCCTGCAGCAACCGGAATTCATTTCAGCAAAACGCAGCATCCCAGACAAGTTTCATCACACTGAAACTCTCACTGCTACCCACTGCTAGCAGAAAGAAAAAAAAAAACACAACAAAAAAAGCCCACAGATCTCCCCTGCTTCCTGCTCTCTTTTCTGTAACCTAGACTCAGCCTGAGCAGCCTGCTTGGTTAAGTTTCACTGTCTCCAGTCTACCACTCATTTTGCCAAACACAGCAACCTGGGCCCTTAAAGTTCACTGCCACATCTCACTGCAGCCTGTTAAGTCAGCCCCAGGTCTGCCTTCCACCTTCAGAAGCTCTACCCATCTAGAAATGCAGTACAGTTTCACAAGCAAAATTTTAAAAAGTAGCAAAAAAACCAAAAGCAATAAAACAGCAAAACTTCCTCCAGCTCCCAAAGGCCCTCTGACATCGCTGCCTTCAGCAGGAACACCTCCCCAGCACCAGCTCTCAGCACCACAGCCACCTTTGGATGAGCTGCCTGCCACAGCTGGGCCCACAGATCCATTTCCTTCCGATGGTCTCCCAGAGGATCTCCCTGCCCCTCCCAAACAGCTCCAAAGATGACTCTGAGGAGGCTGAGACTGGGGGTGTTCAGAGGCTTTGTGACTATTTCTGCTCCACAAACCCTCCCAGCACCCACGCACAGTCCTGACACCACTCGGAGCAGCAGCCCAGCACATACCCATGCAATTCAGAGGAAACAAGCAAGCAAGAGATAATGCTCTGTGCCTCAGGCCTCAGCCAAGCACTGCTGCCATTAACAGCTCCCCTCCACAGCTTTTAAAAATTCCTAGGAGGGAGAGAACAAGCAATGAAATAAACAATGATGGAAGAGCTCTGCCTCACCTGGCACACCAGGTATGCATCACAGCAGTGCAACCATGGCACTGTGACATGGAAGAAAGCAAGCCCAGGCAGTTCCCAGCACACCTCAGCAATGACGCTTTTGATATAATGGAGTTTTGCATTATTTTTAAGCCTTAAGTTTTTCATTTGATTCTGATGTATGCTTGGACATAACAGTTGCTACCCCTCTGTGAGGTTTTATGAACTTACAAGCCCTGCACTGTGCTTTTTTTTTTCCCCCCCGCCTCCCTGCAACCCCAGAACACCATGACGTGATGGAAAGTACAGCAATAACAGCATGGTTGCAAAGCCCTTGGCTGCAGCAAACGAGAATAAGTCCAAATGCAGCATCTATGGACACAGAAACAAAGCAAAAGAGCTGCTTACCTTTGGAAGGTCTCAGGTAGGAGAGGATCTCTAGCGAGATATCCTCACCTCCACTGCCAACCTCTAAATGAAGTCTGAGAAGGGGTGGATGCTGGCTCCAGCCCTCCTGGTCATTCAGTACATTGCACGCAGCTGAGATCCCCTGGGCTGGCCTTGCCTTCCCACCAGGTGCTCCATCACTGCTTCAAGCTGTGACTTAGTATTTTCACTATGCCCCCACACAACAGCCACACTGAAACATTCTTACTCCACCTTACCCTGAACCCCCCTCCCTCCTGTCATTCATCGACCCAAGCTCGTTAAACATCAGGTGGTACAACCTCTGAAGGTGGGGAGGGGGTGGATTTGAAGAAGCCAAAATAGTTTTTGAGGAATGCAGGTAGAATAAGATCTCCTTATAAAGTGCTGCTAATCAAGTGTCATAGTAATTGCAGCTGCTGGCTTCTGCGAGCCCAGCCAAGCCTGCTGTCCACACAGGTGCAGTTGAGGCAGCATCAGGTGGCACAGCTGAACAATCACCAGCACAACTTTGAATCCTGCTGCATTTGGTTTTTCATCCCAAAAAGCCACTGTTTCCCTTTTCAGAATGTTTTAGTTGGACCTACTGTAAGATCTGACCAGAGAACCAATTCTAAGCACTGAGATGAAAAGTATTCTGCACATAAAGCATGTAGACAAGAGAGGGGACAGGTCATTTCATACCCATAGGAGCAAATTACTGGGATACCCTGACTATCTAGTAGCACCTAATTAACCAAACTCAGTGTTGGCACCTCCTGAAAATAGCAGGCTAAAAAACAGCACAGTGATGTCTGAGCAAAAGGCCCTTATGAGCAGTTCAGAATCAACTTGGGTGTAATTAAGAGCATTTGAGAGAATGGTACCCCACGTGCACACAGCTGGAGTGGTGTGGTGTGACCTGGCTTACCTGGCTCTCAGTCTGCGCTCAAAGGACCCAGGAGGCTTTTCTCAAAACCTGAGACGTCCAACTTGCTGATCTGCAGGAGAGAGCATTCAAATCTCAGCTAGGTGAAGCAGGTTTAGCCAAGCTGCATTTCCAGTTCCTCATCTCACAGGCATGGATGCTGCAGAGCCCCTCTCCCAGAGCACCCGCAGGAGCACCCCCAGCCCAGCGCTGGATGGCGCCGTCCCCAGGAGCCAAAGCCTCACCTGGCACACGTGGACACAGCGCCGATGGCATCATCGGCCAGCCTTCCCCCTTCGACAGGCATTACATTTCTTCTTCCACATTTCTACATCTTCTTTAAAGGATGCCAGTAAATTAATGCTGCTTTGCTGATCAGTGTTCGAGTAATATCGATTTTCCAAGTTTTGATACACTCTGGGGCCGGAAAGGAGAGGTCGCTCCCAGCCGAGAGCATCACAGCACGGCCGGCCCGGAGCAGCAGGAGCAGCGCTGGGCTCAGCCTGGCGGCGGCTCTGCAGCTGATGAGCAACGGCATAACTCTTAGGTGAAGACTGAGAGAAGTCTGCGTAATTAGAAAGTGACAAAGGAAGCGAAATATTTGCATGCAAAGCGCGAGGATGGAAGGCAGAATCCCGCATTTCGTTTCTCCCCGCGGCCGCCGTTACGGGAGCGGCCGCCTTTTGCAAGCGGCGCCGACTGCTCGGATCCCGGCGGCAGCGCTCCGCCGCAGCCGCGCACGGAAACGATCCGTGTTTGCTTTGCAGCTCGCACGGCACGCGCGGCTCCCGCAGCGCGGCTCTGTCGGAACGGCGCGATGCTTCCCGCACGGCTCGCGGTGCCGCTCCGCTGCGCTGCCCTTCACCTCGCGGCACCGCCGGCTGCTCCCCGCCCGGGGCTCTGCGGGAGCTCCCACCGCAGGGCAGCTCGGCCCGCAGCGCCGAACGCAGACGCGAAAACACCTGCGGCTGCCCGGGCCTTCTGCTGGCACGGCCGCGCTGAGCGCAGCTGCACGCACGGGGCGGGCCCGGTGCCCGGTGCCGGGTGCCGCCCGGGAGCACAACGCGGTCATCCGGAGAGGGCCGGAGCCTCAGAGCTGCTCGGGAGAAGCCCCGTTCTCGTTTTTAATGTGGCACGGTTACCAGTAACTAAGATTATTCAACAACAGAAGAGATTTCTTGTAAACTTTGTATTTATTATTATTTTTTTTTTGGGACAAATTAGATCTTCTGAATCCCCAAGTGTACACATATATTTATTTATATATAGCTTTCTCCATAGGGAAAACACATATATCAAAGGAGGAGAGACATTTCTAAAGTGCCCCTTGTTATACAGTACTGAACATTTCTAAGAGCATCAGCACAAATCTGCGGTTTCTGGGCAGGAATGACAGCCGTGGGGAAAGGGCTGCACCTCGCCGTGTCCCACAGAACGGAAGTTGGCCAGCTTTAAAACACAACAGAAACGAAGAAACGCTTCTCGCAGCCACGGAGAAGGCAAAGAATTGCAGCGCTGACGGCCAAAAGACGGGTCGGCTGCTGGGCAGGGCGAGCCTTGGAGCGTGAAGGTTTGCAACGAGGGTGGGAGACAGTGCTGAGGGGGAGAAGCTGACAGCAGAGCAGGGCAAAGTGACACCGCCACAGCGGGAGGAGGGAGGGAGGCAGGGGGACCACGACCACGGGGAGAAGGCCATTAATAATCCACTGGGAAGTCACTGCCCGCATCAAAGAGAACAGGAACCCTTCTCTCACTCTACACGCTCCGTGCAGCTCAGTATGGCTGTGCTGCCAACAGTGAATCAGCATCAGCTCTCCTGGGATAAGAAGCCAATGGAATTAAGGTAGGAGTCAAGTTTTTCAATACAAGAAGTAAGCCGTCATGCAGAACTGCACATAACAAGAGCAGAATGGTGCGTGCTGCCCCTGTGCCTCCCTGCCAGCACCTGCAGAACAGGATCCACGTCCAGGTGCTGAAGGGGCTTCTGGTGCTCCTTTGCTGTTGTGCTCACAGCAGCCACATGCTGCTGAGTTCCCAATCTGGGCTTTTTTCTCTTTCAAAAGCTCAGCCATCGTTGGCCAGAAATGAGGCTTCCTGCCTCCATTTTGTAATTTCACATGGCTCTGCGAGGTGGAACAGCAAAGAACAGCAGAGGCCACTTCCTCCTCCTCCAAACAGCTGCAGAAGACAAAGCCATGCCTAAGGAGATGACCCTGTTGTGTTCATTTCTCAATGTTCTCTGATGAAGAGCGACTGTCCCAGTATTAATGACCATCTCTAGAAACCAGCTGAAGGTCCCACGGGCACACAGAACACGGCTCTTGTGGCCAAGCACCTCAATGTACAACAGAGACAGTAAAGACCTGGCAACTCTCATCCTACTGAAACGTGACTGAGATAAGAAAACCATACAGATTCTGCTGCAGGAACTGTGCTAACAGCACAGGCGAGAGCTTCCTCAACTTGAGGATGAAAGAAAACAATAGAATATTAACTACTGAGCAACTCAGGGCTTAATAAATACAGATTTGATGCAACTCTCAGCCGTGTCTACTCAGAAGGCACAATCACACTTTCTGTATGCAGTAATTACTGCTGCCTCCAGCACAGTTTCAGTGATAGCACAGACAGCACAGAACCGGCAAGCTTTTTTCATTATACCCCTGGCACAGCTATCCACAGCCAGGCAAAAGTCCTGCTGGAGCCTACGGGCGTTCTGGGCACACTACAGACCAAGCTTTCCAAGATCTGTGGAAGATCTCAACGCAGAACCAGTTAGCTGGCGAGCAATGAAGAGGCCTCATGGCTGCTGAAGCCTGTCTTACCTCCTCCTGTGAATGGGTGTCGTTTCCAACACGGGTTGGATGCTAGCAGGGAGCGTCCTCTCATCCTGCCTGAAGGAGAACGTCCACTGGCTACAACAGGGATTTTGCCTGCATCGAGGACTGCAGGGCTTTTGTTTTTAGAAAGGAAGATGGAAAAGAGATCATTAAGAGTAGTACTACATGCAAAATGGTGCACGGAACAGACAGACCATTAACAGTAGTGCTATAGACAAAACGGTGCTCAGAGCAGAATAAGTCAGCAATAAAACACATCCAAAGCAAACTCCCCAGCAGGGACCAGCACACAGTCAGTATTCCTCACCTCGTGACTCAGTGGGAGTTTGCCATTAACTGCAACGAGACCTCACTACCATTAGAGATGGAACAAGAGTTACTTAGGATGCGGAGTTTCTTTGGTGCACGTCCCTCTGCAGTCTGTAAGACACACTGTCAGGTTATGCAGACTGAGCTCATACTGTTCTCCTACAAAAGACAATTTTTTTTTTTCCCCAAAAAGAAAAAAAAAAAAAGGTACAGAAATTGCTTGCACTTTGGAAGATACCACATGCACGTTTATCACTTCTCTAATCCTTTGACTTCCACACTAAAACGTGGTCTGTTCAGGAACAAACTAACAAAGAAAAGTAAACCATGCAGCAAAGCAACTTAATTTCTGTTGGTCTTCTTGCCCCAAGTTCCACTGTTATCAGGCCAGATAAACACACTGTAAGTCACCAGCACAAAGAGTCTGCCTCTGCAAAAACAAAAACCAACCCAGAAAATCTAAGGCTGGGGACTGGCACGAGGAATCCTGAAACAGTCCTGTAATTCAATTATCAAAATTATCAAAAGTCAATTATTGCATTAACAAAACCAAACCAAACAATAAACCCCCCAAAAGCATCCAAACAGAACACTGTCATCAATTAAAATAATAGAGAACAATTCTTTTTTTCCTTTTTGACACAGCTATAAAAATCAAGTCATTTATAAAACTGCAACAAATGAAGTCCGGTTGTGTATTCTTTTTCCTTTTATTAAACAGGACAGAGAACTTCCTTAAAATGCCATAACAAGTCACAGTGATTTTAGATGGTTTTTTGAAATGTAATATACTGATGGGAAGTATCTCGAACGTTCAATTTGCTTTGTTTTTGTCACTGTCTGTGTACCCTGGTCCACCAAACCATCTACGTAAAGTTTCTTGTTTAGAGAGGACACTGTGTCTTCTTCCTCCAGAACTGAATTTTGACTAATAATCCTGCAAAATAATCAACCTTACAAAAGGCCTTCTTCAAATGTTATATTTATATATATATGTATATACATATATATACACACACATACACACATATATATAAATATAGACTTTTATGATTTTTTCCCATTCTACGCAACGTCTCAATAAAGAGATCAGCAGATTTATTCTACAAAGAAGCAACACATAAAAGGGGAAAATTAAAGTCTTAAGAACATCATAACCATATTTCACCGATTACACATAAAAGGAAAAAAAATCACCATGAACAACTGTCTTTTTAGTTTTCTCAGATTAACAAAACTCAAGTGCAGAGGCCCCTCTGGCCGTGCCAGGCCGGCTGCCGGGCAGTGAGCACAGCCCCCCCGCCCTGCCCCTCTGCACCTCAACCCGCGGAGTCGGACGTGGTTGGAATGTACGGAGTTTAGGAAAGGTTCCCAACAGAGACTTCACCTTCGGACGATTCTCTCTAGGCCAGCTTCAGTGTGCTCACGGGGAATGACGGCATGGTTACCATAGTTACTGGATTTAGGACCGTCTGCCCAACCAGCTGTGGGTGATGGACAACTTGGGTTCCTACGGCCGGCTTGGCCATCACCGCTTGCTGGCCAAGACTTGTGGTTCCATTCACTTGCTGGTGAGAGATCGTGTGAGCGATGTGGCTCACCACAGGCTGGCTGACGGCCACGGGCTGAGGGTAGATGGGCAGCTGCTGGCCGAGGTGGGCCATGTGGTTGATGGTGGCTGGGTGCACAGTGATGTGGCCGATAGGCTGAGCAGCAGTGGTAAGTTGCACAGGGCTGGACGTGGAAGGTGCAATGTGAGCGATGTGCTTGGTCTGTGGACCCTGAATGACGTGGTTGACAGTCTGAATGACCGACGCGTGGGTAGTGGCGGTGTGGGCGATAACAGTCGATTGCACTGTCGAAGCCGCCACGATGTGAGTCTGTGCTGGGACAATCGCCTGCGGCTGGACCAGTGCTTGTGTCTGGATGGAAGGCTGTGCGTGGGCTGGGGGCTGTTTCTGCTGGATAGACAGGTGCTGAGGCAACACCGCCAGGTGATGGGAAGCAGCGTTTGAAGGGACGGCTTTCAGGAGCTCTGGGTGCTGGCGCTGGGCTAGTTTTGGTAATGAGTTCACAGGCCTGTCATCTTCCATGTCTTCATCCATGTTGTCTTCACCCTCTGGAAAAAGAATGAAATGAAGACACTCCCATAAAAAAATAAAAATAAAAAAAAAAGCAGAGCATGAACTGGGCTAACCAGCCTCTCTTACAGCGCAGGACAAGCGGCAGGGAGGACAGCAGGAGGAGTCACTGAGCTGAGGGAGCACAGCGCAGCGCAGCGCAGCACAGCACAGCAGGCTCCACTCAGCTCAGCTAGAGAGGTGCTCGCTCACAAAAAGCTGGAAGATCCCAGTTGGCAGGCAAGAGAAGCAACTTGAGCTGAGCGGACGGACAGAAGCTGGACTGAGGAGCGCTCTCTGCACAAAGAGAAAAAGGATTTCTTTTCCTGGTATGTTGTTCTATCATTTGTAATTACTCCTCCTGCTCCCAGAGCAGGAAGGAAACAGTGATGAAGAATCGTGGCAGCAAGTTTACTGGTCTGGTTCTGGAAAAAGAAGTCTCCATTGATCCTACAAATTAATGAGGCAATGCTGACCTTAAGGAGATTAGGATCATTAGCAGGGCATTCTGCACTGCCTGCTCTAAAGCCAGTCATGCAGTAGAGATTAAAAATCTCAGAAGATACAGAAGCAGCAGGATAACTAGGGAAGATACTTCCCTTTGCAAGCCCCACAGTCAGCAGTAGCTTGAAGAGATCGTTTTCAGCAGAGGCCAGCTGGAGAAGTGAACGGCTGATGCCTCAATTTACAAAGCTCTCCTACTCTCTGCTTCCACCAGCTTATGCTTGGAGATGGTCTGGAGCATGCTCAAAGGTGATGAGCCCCGTACAGGAATCTGAACGAACCAGAAAGCTCTGGCTTTCCCTTTCTGGGTACCTGCTGTGCCATCTGCCTGGAGCACCACGAGCAAACGCCACTGCGATTTTAAGGAATTGCTGCCAATAGGAACTGCTACAGCCTTCTGATCTCTGGAAAGCAAAGTGCTGTCCATCCATGACCGCCTGTTCTTCCTACTCCAGGTCACTGGTATGGAGGAAAGTGCGCGCTCTCCTACCTCACAAAACCTTCTCACTGGAACAGCATGCTTGATCTTCATTAGCATCATTTATCTTCACTGTGAATCTTTCTCATGAAATGCACAGGCTCGCTAAGTTGGTCAAATGCTACAGTGACCTCTCCTGTACCAAATCCTTCTTCTCTGTGTGGCTGAATACCTTCCTTCCTCCGTGCACAAATACATCAGGGCACTTACACACCAATCAGTTTTAATGAGCAGGATTGTGCAGCTGAACATTCTGAAAGAAAGGAGCTTCATGCGAGACACCAGCAGAATGAATGTGCACACCTGTACCTTGGGTTTATGTAACACGGATGCATGATTTTCAGTGTACTTTACACAAGTGTATCATTAGGCCACCATCGCTGACTACAAAACACTGAAAATCCTTTTACTTAATTCTGAACGCAGAGCAACTGTGACGGTGCTAAATGAAGATCCCCACCACCCGCCTCTACTACCGTGGTGTACAATGATGGTTACAAGAAGAGGGAAACTGTGGGTACCTGACGCTGTGGAGGTAGATGCCTGGTCATCGTCTGGCTGAACTGTCTGCCGAACAATTCTGTCAATCTCCATGATGTCCATCCACTGGCTCAACTCGTTCTTCAGTTCTGCCAGCCGCTGCTGGGTGGCGATCTTCTCTCTTGCCAGCCGCTCCATCTCATGCTCGTATTCCTTTTCCTTTCTCTTTAAAGTCTAAAGACAGAACAAAGTAAAGGAAAAATCTAAGAAGAAAAAACACAAATGTAATCTACGCTGACTTGGTCGTTGCCACATTCATTGCTGGTTCTCTTTTATTAGTAGTTATGCTGGCATAGCTGCATTCAGGTAAAGTTACCTCTTCCAAGTTCACACAGAAGGGAAAGGACCTGGCCACAAAAATCTATAGGGTTGCTTTGGCCAACCACTCTCTGCTTTCTAAAGGAAAACTAATGAGTCTCTGAAACTGAAACGGTTAACAGGTCAGGTGTGAGTTACCTCAGCTCCAGGGGGAGCAGCCTACAGCTCCATAGGAAAAGCTGCAGAACTTCAGCACCAGCGGTCAGCACTCAGTTCTCAACAACAGTCTGACCTCTCCTGACTCATGAGACATCAAGGGGATTAAGGCTTATTGCAGACTGCTGGAAAGGCGTGAAGGAAGCACAATGGGTGCAGCTTTCTCCTAGTCACCACGTAGGAGAACATGCTTCTACTACATCTATTTCCAAGCACACTTAAGGAAAGCAAGCATGTACACAGAGCAGTGCTCCTGCAGAGCAACTAACTGCTGGCCCTCTGCTTGAGAAGGGTGAAAATCCCCCACATCCTTGCACTGAGAAAGAAGCTCTGTGCAGAAAACTCAGCTCTTATGTGGGATGATAAAACCACAGACAAATTGAAGTATTTCAAAGATGAGGCGCAGAAGAACAGATAGCATCTTTTACTAAACCAACTAACAGTAGTTATGAAAAAAATGACAAGCTTCTGAGCCAGAAACTTAAATAGGTCTACACGTGATGACAGTGCATTCCTGTAACCTCAGGTTGGTCAGCACTTAAATCAGGAAGAGAGAACTTTGACACAGACAAGAAAAAGCATTTTTTAAATGCTAAAACACATTTGTATAGGACATGATTGTTCCACACACATAAGTGGTGATGAAGGCTTTTGGATCCACTCACTCACAGCTGAAGCCAGACCCACACACTTGTTCCAAGGACTGTTATACTGCAAAGCACAGGAATTTCTTACAACAGCAGTAATATCACAATAGAACAACTCTATGCAAAAAAAAAATCACAACAACCCATGGTCACAGCAGTTACATTTCTTTCTAAAATAAGCAGCAATCATACTGACACTCCTTGCACCAAAGCCAAACCTCCAGGATCTGCCAATAGAACTGGCACCTACGGCTGGAGCTGAAATGGGTAGAGAGGACCACCAGAACTACACGAAACAAAGTAAGGAACAAAACTTCAACAAAGGAATTCATACAAGTGGCCGACCACCTGTCTTTGCAGGTCTGAAACGTCACTACGCAGAGGCACCTGCGTCCAGGACAGCTGAGGATCTGCAGCTGCCATCTGAGCCACTGCTCCCACTGGGAGCACCAGCAGTGGCTGTGCTGAGGGCTCTGATGAAGCCTCACCACCACACACTGATGATGCAGGAGGCGCACCCCGGCCCTGGGGCCTCCAACCCAACTCCTGACTCCTGCCAAGGTGGTGCTGCTCTCCCTGGTCCACCTCACTGCTCTGCCAGGGCTGTGCTCCTGCAGCAGGGCTGAATCCCGCAGCACAGGCTGGGGTTGGCTGTCGGCAGTTGGGAGGTTGCACAAAGCAGCAAGCTCTGGTAAAAAGGAGCTGATGATTTTACTCGGAACAGTTTGTGCAGTTTAGCCTCTGCTTGAAATCAGGAGCAGAGTCCACGCAGGGCATGCAGGAACAGTCTGCTGCAGACGTGAGTCTCCCTTTCATTTCCATTTCCCAGAAGGGAAGGACAATTCTGAAAGTGAAGGCTGTGCCTGCGAGTGACTCAGCCATGCAGGCCAGCAGGGCTTTGTGCAGAGCGCAGGGCAGTCCCAGGGAGACGTGCCTGCCTGGAAGCTCATTTGCCTTTGCTACGCACGGAATGGGATTTTCCTCCTTCGCACGTAGCTCTCAGCCTTTTCCCACACGGATTATTACTGTAAGCCCAACACAACCGCAGCGGCAGCCAACAGCCGCAGTACGAGCTGCAGTGCTGTGTGCTTTGTGCCCACTCTCCTCCCCACTTCGGAGCCGTTCCGTGGTCCTCGCATGCATCCCACTGCCACTGCTTGGTAAACAAACCAGGAACAAAGTGCTGCTGTCACCCCACCGCAGTGGCCATTTGTCACTGTAAAGAATTTTCCATTTTATAGCTGGCTGTAATTAAATTGCTTATTCTTATGTCAAGATTGAGAATAATGCTCCCACTGCTTTCGCTAGGCCTGCCTCAGGAATAACGCTAACCCTGTGCTGGAATCAGGGAGGTTTAAGAGGCCTTATTAAAAAGCTCCCCTTATAGGCATTACATTAGCAATTTAAAAACTCACTTTCAATTATGAGCTTTTCCAAAAGCATATTTCAGCTGTTGTGCTCTACTACACAGCATCCACTGATTAAAAATTCCCCATCAGTGAGCAATCGTGGAAGTGATTTGTAATTCTGAACCAGATTCCCAAATTCTCTGCAGCCACTGGAGCAGCTCTGGAGCTCACGGCTGCGGGAGCTCCCTGCAATGCTGCCCCAGTGCAGCTTCCACACAGCACACTGCCGAGTGTTGGTCAGCACGGGCTGCCTATGGCACGCAGTGCTTTGACTGCTGTATGCAATGAACGCAGCTCAAACCTACCGAAAGGATCTCACTCCCACAGGGACTGCCCTGTTGTTACACACCTCTGTGCTGTGCTCACGGGCAATACTTTTGGGGCTCTGCACTCATCACATCAATTCCAGGCATTCCTGCTTTGAATCCTGCTACGTCTTCTATGAAGTTCTTCAGGTGCAACAAGCAGTTTCGTTAAAACCCAGCGCCGAAGCGATTCCCTGGCCAACAAAGCACAACCTGCAGCAACGGAGCAGAGCCCAAACACACCTGAACACCAGCGCCCACCCCTGCATGCACCTCAGCACTGGCTGCCCCAGGCAGCAAAAGCAGCAGCGCAGCCAGAGCTGCACGCAGAGCTCTGGAGCACCACAGCCCTGCTGCGGGGAGCAGCACCAAGCAGGACCAGGCCCTGCAGCAAGGCACCATCCTGCTCCTTCTCCAAGAGCTCTCACTCTGCTCTTGGGAAAGCCCCAACTGGTTGCCACGGGAACAAAATCCTCTGTTTCCATGGCAGCTGCAGCACTGGCTGGCTCTTACAGATGTGGCCTTGCAGGCTGCGGTGTGCTCCATGGGTTCTCCTGTACAGCACAGAACTATGGTCCCAGTGCCCCAGGGTTGGTGGCACTGTGACATGCTCCACACAGAGCTCCTGGCTGTTACAACATGGGTCCACCTGCTCTGGGCCGGGTTGCACACAGCATCGCTCCTAAGAACACATGGCCTGCAGCTGCAATCCAACATATCTGGAAGCACTGACAGCACGCATATGACACCTCAGTTCATGCAAAAATAACATCTGCATCCATGGCTATCAAGAGGCGCTGTTTGCTAGCACCCTACAAGGAATCCTGTTTGGGGAGGGAGGAGAGGAACGAGGTGCAGAATTTCAGGCTGCTTAACTCTGGTTTTGCATTATTTTCAGCCTCCTAGGCAATCAAAACTAATGCTTCACACAAGCACCGAGACCATAATCAAACTCAGGAGACAAGCACTGCATGCTGCTTCACTCCCAGCCCGGCCCCACACGCAGCCCTGCCCTGCAGACACCTCCTGCCAGATGCAGCAGCCTGCAGCACAGTGTGCTCAGTCCTCAAACCGCAGGACCTGATGGGCCATTCGCCAGCAGCTCGTGGCCCAGCTTTTCCATTTGTTTAACCCCGGACAAGGAAGGCAGCCAAAGAGTGCTGTTATATTCTCAGATGTGATTTCACCCTCACATGCATGCAGTGAGCACTGTGATTTCAGGAAACGAGCGCACTGTTTGCTGCAAGAGCTGCCTTGGCTCATCTGCAAAGGACGAGAACTGTGCCGGCAATGGGTCGGTGCCCGTGGTGGTTCTGGGCACCCTATGCTGCTCCCTCCAGTTCACAGAGGAGAGAAATATCCACACAGGAATACTTCACAGAACCAGAAATCTGTCTGCAGCAGGGAATCGTGAGAAGTGAAAACATGCAGCGTTTGCATATGATTAACACTTGGGACTCTGATAAAAAAACACGTTGGGCCACAACCTCTGGAACACCACTGTACTTGAAACACAGCTATCTACAGGTCAGACGGATCCAGCTCCCACAAGCTCAGCTTGAAACGAAGCCCAGAAAGTTACTGGGGCAGAAGGTAAGGAAGATCCGAATCAGGAAGACAAAGAATAAATTCAGAGAGGATAAAAACCAAACAACAAGCCAAAACCTGCGGCAAGCAGCTGGAACACACAGCACAGACACAACCCAAGCAGAGGCACGGCTGCTCCCGGCACCAACCACCAGGACTGTGCTGGCCTCTACCAGCTCAGCAGATCCACCCTGCTCCTGGACAGCACTTTCAAGGCTAAGAGAAATCCAGCATTAAAAAAAAATACTGAAGTTTGCAATAACAAGGCGTTAAGTTTGGTAGTGGGTTTTGTATTTTTTTTTTTAAATAATCTCTGTGATTCAGGAATTACAAGACATTTTCAATGATGCTAATAGATATGGATGCCCAAAACACCTAAAAATGCTGTGCTGGTTGTTATTTAGAAGACTATCCCAAACAAACTGCTTTAATTTGGCTCTTGCAGCAAATACGTCAGTGGTACAACTCTAACAATAACCTGCAAGCTAAAACCAACAGCACTGCATTGCAGGTAGCAATTGTTACTGATGACAAACTCACTGGACTGGGGACTCCTAAGCCTGTCTGAGCCTGTGCACGGACACACAGCTGGCAGCTCCAGGAGGCAGAACGCAGCCATGCTCCAGCACAGCCACGTTCCTTAGAGATGGGAAGGGATGAGCGCAGAGACACACTGCATCTACTTGCTGCAGGGCTCTGGTATTTTTCTTGCAGGCATCTCACCACGGTGCTGTGGGCGACAAAGCAGGGGC